GGAAGGTCAGAGAAAAAGAGGAAGACCCTCGCAAGATGGATTGGCAAAGTGGCAGCATCAATGGGCTCAAGCGTGGCAACAATTGTGAGGTTGGCCCAGGATCAGGCAATGTTTCGTTCTTTTGTGCATAGGGTCGCTATGCGTCATACAATGGTCAGCCATTCAAGATCATATCAGTAGCATTTATCCAAGGTGAAAATTCAGAAGAGTGGGGAACAAAGGAAAAATGAAACTAAACACAGGGAGGAAGTGGAATAACTGATGTTAATATGAGGGGACTGAAATGAAGATGAGATGAAGTGTATGAATTGTTCAATGTAAAACTGATGATCTGCTCTGGAAATCTTCACTCAATTAATAATAAAAAGTTTTAAAAAATAAAAGAAAAAAATGTATTTGCAATTACTATGTCTTTTGTTTTGCAAAATTCTCTTATGAATTCACTAGCATCGTTTCTGTCTCCAATGCCATATTTTCCAACTCTGATCCTTCCTCTTTGTGTCCGACATTTGCATTCCAATCACCAGTTTTTATCAGTGCATCTTGGTTGCATGGTTGATCAATTTCAGAATAAAGAAATTGATAGAATTCTTCAAATTCATCTTCACTGACTTTAATGGTTGGTATATAAATTTGAATAGTAATGGAATTAACTTGTCTTCATTGTGGTGTTGTTGTTAAGTTCCATTCAGATGATTCTGACTCATAGCAACCCTGTATAGGGTTTCTGAGGAGTGACTGGTTGGTTTGAACTGCTGACCGTATGGTTTGCTGTTCCTATAGCACCACACCAGAAGTTGAATGGATATCCTATCGCAGTCAGTATTGTTCTTCATGATAGACCTTGCAATGTTGTTTTTGATGATAAATGTGATGCCGTTCCTCTTCAATTTGTCATTCCTGTCACAGTAAACCATAGATTATCTGACTGAAATGGCCGATACCAGACCTTTGTAGCTCACTAATGCATAGGATATCAGTCTTTATGTGTTCCATTTCACTTTTGATAACTTCCAGTGTATCTAGGAAAAGTTGTATCTTGTTGTCAAAAATGTTTTTATTAATGTGTATTTACAGCTATTTATCAGTATTTTTTGTTGTGCCACATCAGCAAACGAATGTTCTGAAAGCTTTGTTCCATCCAGTCAAGTCTACTTTGTGGAGTTAGCTGTTCCCCAGTCTTATTTTCAGTGCCTGCCAATCTTCTGGCACTATATTTGATAATATTCTGCTGCATTTCATAATATTTACTTTATCTGGTACTATTTATGACAATAAGGAGCTCTGGTAGCGTAGTGGTTACGAATCGGGCTGCGAACCTGAAGGTCAGTGGTTCGAAACTACCAGCAGCTCCGCGGGAGAAAGATGAGGCTTTCTACTCCTGTAAAGATTTACACCCTCGGAAACCTTGTACAGGTTCACTATGGGTCGGAACCGACTCGACGGCACTTAACAACAACATATATGACAATATTCTTCTGCTATTCATAATGTTTTCAGTGGCTAAGCATTCAGAAGTAGTCCACATCTCCTTCCTAGCTTGTATTAGTCTGAAAGCTCTGTTGAAACCTGTCCACCTTGGGTAACCCTGCAAAAATTGTTGCAACAGTACATCAACAGGGAGCGACCAGAAATTTAATCCATATTTAGTATAGAAAGTAGAATGAGGAATAAGATGACGTCTGACATCAGATGGTTCTTGGCTGAAATGAGAATATCAGGAAGATGTTTACTTTTGCTTTATTTATTATCCAAAAGATTTTGACTGTGGAGATAAACAAACTTTGGATATAACATTTTGAATAATGATAATTCCAGAACACTTAATTGTGCTCATGAGAAACCTGTACATAGACCAAGAGGCAATAGTTTAAACACTGCTTACTGGTTTGTAATCAAGAAAGGTGTGCACCAGGGTTATATCTTTCACCCTACTTAATCAATCTATATACCAAGCAGATAATCTGAAAAACTGGATTATATGAAGAAGAACATGACATGAAGGTTGGAGGCAGACTCATTAACAACCTGCGATATGCAGGTGACATAGTGTTGCATGCTGAAAGTGAAGAGAATTTGAAGTAGTTGCTGTTGAAAATTGAAGATCACAGCCTTCAGTATGAATTGCACCTCATTGTAGAGAAAATGAAAATCCTTGCAACTAAACCCTGATATAAAATCCTGATAAACAGAAAATTGTGAAGTTATAAAAGAATTCATTTTGCTTGGATTCCATATCAATCACATGCTATGGAAGTGGTTGTTATGTGCCTTGGAGTTGGTTCCGACTCATAGCAACCCTGTACAGGGTTTCCAAGGCTGTAATTCTTTACAGGAGCAGAAAACCTCATCTTTCTCTTGCGGAATGGCTGGTAGTTTCGAACTGCTGACCTTGCGGTTCGCAGCCCAATTCGTAACCACTACGCTACCAGAGTTCCTTTTGGCACTAAGTAAATGTGGGAACTATCATAGAGTAAAATGTGAATGTAACTTATATAATTTTTAGCCAGTAAAGTAGAGAATATTATATTTTTATTAATTGTTTCACTTTATGGAGAATGAATTACTTTTTTTTTTTTTTAAAGTTTTATTGTGTATTGTGTGATAGTCTGCATGAGGGAACATTAGTTTTACATTCATTCCATCATACATCGTCTCGTTGCCATACGTCCATGCATCATTGCCCAACCAAAGGGTATACCCTACAATCCCGTCCACCCTCCCCTCAAGGTCCTCAGCACATAGCCCTTCTCCCTCTCTGAATCCTTAGTCCCCAGGTACTCCATCTCTTCATGTCGTCCTCTCTCTTAACATCATCCTCTCTGTCTCAGTCTCTGTCCTCACTGCTCCTCTGGGTGGTGTCCCACTCTCCGCTCTTCTCCATTGATGGTCCCAGGGCCCTGCGATCCTAGACTGAAAGGTTAATCACTCCCCTCCTTGCTATAAAATGTCCAGCTTTATATTACCAGTCCTCACAATCAGTCCTGGTGACAATCATTCACCCTTGCATCCCAAGGGACCCATCCACCTTTCTTTCCATCTGCCTCTCCCAGACAGGTTGGACACTACTCACTGGAGATTCCACCATCCTTCCCGCCCTGTTGATCTAGGTTCCCTCTTGAAAGCTTATAAGCCAGTCACTTCTTACCTTTGTATCCCTTCTCCCATTTTTGGTTAGTCAATGTTCAAGTTGGCCATTCCTATCTACTCTTTGTGTGGAGGGGGTGGGAATAATTCTTGGAGTAGGGATCTGTTTCCTCTTATGAACTACTGCATTTATAGATGGATGTCCAGTTTATCAGACTGTATCAAATGACGCTTTTTTTTTTCCCCCTCATCTTTCTTCTTCGGGTTGAGCTCTGTTCGTCCCATCATTGGAGCCATGGCAAGTGGGTTTCAGCTGCAGGTGTGGGTGTTCTGCGTCTGTCCGCCCTCTAATCAGTTGGTCGCTTCGGTCTCCTCTCTAGTCCTCTGTGGTTGTGTCACTGACTCTGAGCCCATGAGTCTTGCCTCACTGCTGGCCGACCAGGTCTCTACCTGGGCTCACCATAGTCTGCAGAACGATGCAGGGCTTAGCTCGCTGCTTCTTCAATGTTCTTCGGTCACTTCTCTTTATGGGTGACGTGTGTGGTTGCCAATCAGAACGCGTTTTCCCATTGCGTCTTAGTCTTGGAGGAGGATTTGCGCTGAGAGGACCCGATTGCTTGCCATGATATCTCCTGGGCAGACAGCTTGCTTGTTCTTGTGGTAACAGTCGGACTGCCCTTGTTGTTTTGTGTTTTTCCCTAAGGTCCTTCTTTCAAGAAGTGTCTTCTGGTTTTCTGACTGCTCCAGGCTGGTCTGCTTGTCCTTTCAAGAAGAAAGTTTCCCTTCTCTGATGATCTGGATGTGGTTCAGGCTTCCTTCTATAGTTTTATGCAATGCAAAGGCTCTTCATAAGACCTCCTTCACTAGCTACATTGTAGCCCCATTTTAGGTATTCCAATTAGGCAGAAGACGGACTTACAAGCTTTCTATGGTGATATTTCTGGCTATTCCTTTCACTCTCCCTCCAGTGACTGTTTTATATTATAATGCATGGAAAACCAGGGTTCGAAAGTCAGCCAACTATCTCAATATTATTCCCCACTTTTCCCCATTCCAACCCTGTCCCAGTCTC